CCAATGTCATAAAACAGCATGTGTGTTACTGTTACATGAGAAACTATCTGTTCTGTAAGCCTTCACCTGAAGTACAATAAAATATTTAAAAAAAAAAAAAAAAAAATCTTAGTACTTCCCAAAATGGCAAGAGAAAGAGTACCATATATTTCAGTTGCTGTTTGGCAGAAGATTCCAGGATAGTCTTATCAGCCTCAGGTAATCTTAACATTGTGGTAACAGACCATGTACATTACTTTCAATTCCTCAAAAAACCATAAGCAGCTGCTTAATGTCCCTTTAAGGAGTCCCTGGGTGGTGCAAATGGTTAAGCGCTCAACTACTAGCCAAATCCAGTTCAAACCCACCCAGGGCCACCTCAAAAGACAGGCCTGGTGATCTGCTTCCAAAAAGTCACAACCTTGAAAACGCTATGGAGTAGTCCTATTCTGCAAACGTGGGGTTGTCATGAGTGGGAACTGACTCAACGACAACCACAAAGTCCCTTTAAGAGGTTTAAAACACACACACACCCACACACACACACCATGCATCTGGGAACTTCAGTTTTCTCATCAAGTACGCTGGCAATAATACCACTGGTAATGTTTTGACTTGAAATTACTGTGAAATCATAACTTCTGTAAATAAAAGCATAAGACAGTATATTTTAAAGACTCCTTTACAATATAATACCTGTTGATTATATAGAATATAATAGATACTTGCTAACTGAATTCAGCTCCTCATTTTTCTTTTACTGGCAAATCCTATGTACAGGCCAATCTAGGAAAAGAACACAACAACTCTGAGAATAGTTTTAAGGGACTCGCTACCTAGTTTTAATTCATCAAATCCTATTGCTACACTTACATATCAGGATAATTTAAAGCATTTGGTAACAAAAAAAAGTTAGATGCAGAATGGGAGAACAATATGTATATTCTTCCATCTCTTTCAAATTAGGTCAAAGAAATCAGCTGTCAATGAAGTTCCTGAAAATCTTTTTTTAGTTTGTGTATGTATTGAAAGCCCCAATTAAGAAGAAAATAAGAAAGCCATCCAACTGTAAGTAATAATGCTTGATTCTAGTTATAAGAGAAAATTAAGAGATGGACAAATGCTTACCACTACTTTGAAAAAAACAATACCAGTATCTTGTATACAAGAAGTCCACATTCTAAACTATCCAGGTACCTTCTTGGCAAAGGACAGGCTGATAAACTTAAAATTTTAAAAAGAAAACTAAAATGCTGGTAAAATGTAAACAAGATATCCAAGATGTAACTAGAACCAATGTCATATTTTAAAGGCATAATCCTGAAGCATGTTGTGTTTCCTATAGTAAAACTAACCCCAAAAGTCAGTTTTCCATCAGATGTAACTAACTTACCTACAGAAAAGAATGTTTTCTACCTAAAAGCATTATTTACCACCTTGCTTAAAATGATCAATGTCTTGTATGACTCTCTTACATACATGAATAAAGCTAAACATAGATCAAAACTAAAAATGCAATTAACATTATCTCAGGGGAAGGCATGGACTATAAAAACAATACACTTGGAAAGGAAAAACAATTGTTTGGGCAGGTATTCTGGTTCCCTCATTACAGTGAAGTACAGTTACATAAACTTTATAAGAAAGCAGATAACGGACACCAGATAGCTAAAATAGTACGTCACTGGAAAGGTTCATTATTTCATTAGAAATACTGTCAACTATCAATTTGCCATAACAAATTTTAAATTCTGATGCTGTTACCCCACCATGTATATTTTTAGTCTATCACCAACTAATAAATGGGTAGAAAAGCTTAGTAATATTTCTTATATAATCCTGGAAGTGTACATAGATAATGGACAAGATACGTAACAAGATAAAGCAACCCAAAAAACCACTAGCTGTGCCTATTAGACATACTTCGAGTACATTTTTATTACCATTTTAACGTACCCTATAAACTATTTTGCATAGTTTGAATAATCTTACAATAGGTTGGAGGCTAAATCTATGCAGTGGATCATACCAAGAAATGCTTCCTTCCCCCTTCTTTGTAGAACAACGATTCGGTAGAGTTAATGCTAATCCAAGAAAAGTATTCCCTGTATAATAAATTTCTTGCAAAACTCAAGAGATCATTTGGAAAAAGGACATTTATTTTCTGGTTACTAAGTTAAAAATAATTTAATATATGGAAATTTGAATTGAAGTTAATCCAACTCTGCTAATGAACGCAATAAATATATCATTCATTTTCAAGGACTTCTACTAATTAAATGTGGTATTATACCTTTTAAGCATAAATTCCATTATTCTTCCCATAGATAAACCATGTAAAAGTATTTCTGGAAGATCCTAAGTGTCTATTAATACTAGTAAATCTTCACTTTCAGAGTTAGTAGCAATCTCAAACTCAGATTTTGTCTAACCTTTATGAAGACATCTCGTCAAAAGGTAAAATTACTATAAACAAAAAAGGTCTTTAACGTACAAAGTACTGAAGAACTATTTAGCCAGCAATAAAACTTCAAGATTAAAAATCGTATTTTTGTCAAATCTAAAGTCAGAACCCAACTGCAAACACAAAAAAGTAAGTTAATACATCACTTCAGAATTAGAGATGTGCAGACGTATCAAAAATGAAAGTCATCTTCCTTCCCAACTGACTTTTTTAAAAATTGACTGTTTCTCAAAATAAACAAATAAATAAATCTGCATTATCTATAGTTCTGCTGAAACATAAGGAGCTTGAATTTCAATGTAACTTTAATAATAATCGAAGTAAAACAGCCAGTAGGCGCCTGGTAATATAGTAGATTTTTGATAAATGTTCATTCCCTTTACTTTCCCCACCCCACTTTCCCACATTTGATTATTCCCTCTCTCCCCTAAGATGCCTTGCTGTTTAGGCATCTGTGCCCTCCTCATTCCTACGGTTTGAAAATATTTCTTAATTTTCTCAGCCTATTAAAATTCTATTCCTTTTTTAAAGCTAAGTTAAAAGTTCTCTGTTCACGGAAGCATTCTCTGAACCCTTCAAATGGATTTAATATCCTCCTCCTCTGGGTTCCAGTAGCACTTTGTTCTTACCTCTACAAGGTATTTGTCCCACTGATTAACTGCTAATTATATACGTGTCTTTCACTTACTAACTTGTAGTCAGTTTCTTGATAGCAGGGACCTTATACTTTCAGCACCAACACTATCTGATACAGAGAATTAAAAAAGAAACGTAATAAAATATCTATCTGCCCTAATTTTAAAGAAAAATTATCGGGATCATTTTTTATCAAATATTCTCAACACTGACTAGGAAAAATACTTAATACTTTTAAGGCAAGTATGTAACCCAGGGTATTACACTGGAAAAGTAACCAGCAATAGCTATACGGCAAACTGGGAGAACGTGTGAAATGGTATCTACAAAGGTCAGTCTTTGATTCAGTATTTGAAACACTGCAGTCGCAAGTAGGATGGTAAAGGTCAATAAAACGTTCACGGCATTTTTCATGGATAACATCAAGTTGGAGAGTTTCCTATCATTTTGGAAGATGGAAATATGATGTTCATTTGTGAAAATGTTTCAGTAACAGAATGAAGTTTAATATGGGCAAGTTCAAGGTAGAGTAAGACTTTAAGACATATTACACAAACACTAAATGATAGGAAAAGACAACTAACTACTGAAACTGGGACCATGGTATATCAGCATGAAAGGAAAGCGATAATGTACTAAATTTTAAAAAAATCAATTATGGTATGAAGACAATTCCTTTAATTTATTCAAACAAGTTTGTGGTAACCTGAAAGTCATCCTTACCTTGCTCATGTGTGTAATTTGTAAGAATATGTAAAAGCTGGTATTTTTTGGCTATCTTGATTACTTACATAGATTCCTAAGTAGAGAGAAAGTAGAACCTAGAGGACCTGGAGATCATTCCAGATTTTTAGCCTTCTATGAGCAAATTCCTCTGTTCTCAGTTTTACTTTTTAGTAGAGATTTTTCCCTACAAGGAAATTTTTCAAAACCTACATTAATAATAATTTAATGTGAATAAAGCTGTTAACTCAATAAATCATCTGTAAGTCAATATAAAATGCTCGTCTTATATAAATTAGAAATAAACATAATAGATACCAATTCACCTAATTAACTGCAGCTTTGGAAAGACCTGCATTTCTGTACTTACATTTCTACTACAGATCCCACAGATGCCCAACATAAAAATAAAGCATCATCACCAGCAGTCAGTCAGTGTGCAGGATGTTCTCTTCCCCTGCTGGCTCATTCTTTATCTGTGAAGTAAAAAGAAAAAGAAAAAAAAAAAAAACTCAACATCAACTTCTCTACAGACTAAGATTAGCAAAATTAGTTAATTATATGATCCTTTCATTTAACAAAACGCAATGGCAAATTTCATCTTAAAAACAAAAGTTTCTATATGGGCAGTCTGACAAGAAGCAAGAAAAAATAAAGTAGCCCATCTATAATACTGAAAGTACTCATCACATAGACTGGGACCTTCTACTAGTTACAGCATCAAACAATTGTATGCCAAAGTTGGTTTACAACCAATTAAGCCAACCTTTTCTCAAGATGCCTCTTATACAGGAAATTGAGAGGCACCAACCAAAACACCAGCTCAGCCATTAATCTTCTTTCCTCTCATTTAGTTTTTCCTCCATTCACTTCACCATGCAGGAAGAACATCATACTACACAGAACTTACTTATAATCAAGCATGCATGATGACTGAAGAGATGACAGACCTCACAGTAACCACGAGATAGAAGATACTTGCATCTTCTTTCAGTTCCATGTGCCTCTCATAATATGGGTATCTATCTCCCTAACATATTTGAGATTCTAGAGTTTGAAGATATATACTTTTAATACCTCAGATGGCCCATAAATATAAACCTGCTTACTCCACCAAATGCTTATTAACAGAACAAACAACAATCTGCTTCAAAACCAGAGATCAAAAGTAATCAATTAAACAGGGTTTCTGAATAACCTTTTTGTTTTACTCTCTGACTTTAGAATTTAGCCTTTGGTGGTGCAGTGGTTAGGAGCTCAGGCTGCTAACCATAAGGTCGGCAGTTCGAATCTACCAGCCAATCCTTGGAAACCCTATGGGGCAGTTCTACTCTGTCCTCTAGGGTCGCTATGAGTTGGAATTGACCTGATGGCGATGGGTTTTGGTTGGTCCTGACTTTTTTCCCAACACTTTCACTTTATCCTCTAGGTGTCTACAACTTCAACAGCATCACAGAATACTCCATTCACTTCCCTCCTGTTGTCTACTCAAAAGAGAAACTGCCCATTTTCTCCCTCTCAAATATACACGAACACACATATTCCCTTTCTACAGAACAGAAGGAAACAGTCTACTATTCCAACAGCATTAAACCAGTTGTCACTGAATCAATTTCAACTCATGGTGACCCCATGTGTGTCAGAAGTAGAACTGTGTTCCACAGAGTTTTCAATGTCTGGTTTTTCAGAAGCAGACTGCCAAGTCTTTCTTCCAAGGTACCTCTGGGTGGACTTGAACCTCCAGCATTTCTCTTAACGAGTGCAATAATCATTTACACCACCCAGAAACTCCTCCAGTATCATTACTCTTACCGTAAAACATCTATTTTTTTAAGTCTCTACCACTGGCTACAAAACACTTCACAATTCCCTACAGCTGTTCTCTCTCAATCTTTAAGGCATTTACTTAATCTTCTATTGGTCATCCTCTTCACTCTAACGCCTGACATCAGTATTAAAAAAAACATGTTGCTGTCGAGTCAATTCCAACTCATAGCGACCCTACAGAACAGAGTAGAACTTCCTCATAGGGTTTCCAAGGAGCGGCTGGTGGATTCGAACTGCCAACCTTTTGGTTAGCAGCTAAATGCTTAACCACTGGGCAACCAGGGCTCCAACATCAGTATGGACCTATTTAAATATCCTTGAAAATGAATCATCTAACAACTAATTTGTTGTTGTTGGTAGGTGCCAGTCGATTTTCAACTCATAGCAATCCCATGTGACAGACTAGAACTGCCCCATAGGGTTTTCTAGGCTGTAATCTTTACGGGAGGACATCTCCAGGTTCTTCACCTGTGGAGCAGCTGGGGGGGTGGGGGTGGGGGTTTCAAATGGCCAACCTTTGTTAGCAGCCAAGACCTTAATCATTGGGCCACCAGGGCTCCCAACAACTAACTTAGAGGTTCTTAAACTTCCCAAATTCTGTTCATCAAAATCACTGAAATCATTAGTTAAAAACTTATACTCTCAGGTCCTACCACTAGAAAGTCTAGGTCAGTAGACATGAATTGAAGGCAAGGAATCTCACCCAGGGTGATACTGATGCAGGTAGACCACCAAATATAAGTTGAGAAACACTATCCTCGCTTTTCATTTCTAAAATCCCAAGTTCAATAACTTCATCTCCTCTCCAGCATCAAAATATGAAAACCACATTTGAAACTGTTGTTTTTGTTGTTGCTTTTGTGTGCCATCAAGTCAATTCTGACTCACAGTGACTCTACAGGACAGAGCAGAACTGCCCCATAGGGCTTCCTGGGCTGTAATCTTCACGGTAGCAGATCACCAGGTCTTTTCTCAAACAATGGCTGATGTGTTCAAACTGCTGACCTTTTGGTTAGCAGAACAGTGCTTACCCATTGTGCCACTATGACTCCTTCAACTTGAAACTAGTTATTACCTAAAACTGCTACCTTTCTGAAATCTTAATCCCACTCTCAAGATCACAAATACTGATCCTTCCAGTTCACTTATTCACCCCCACACCTGCTCTTTAATCTCAGTGTGACCTCCAGTCTCTTGACACCTCCTTTCCTTATCCAGTTCCTGATCTCATTTCCTTCCCCACCCAACCTGGAACCCAATCATTTTAACTTCTCTCTTACTAGAACCCTTGACTCCCTCATATTTTTATCTCTCATCTACACGCACTACACAAACCCAACTCTGCATGAACTTTACCAAATGACTTCTCAACTTCCATGCCCTGGTCATTGAGCACAGATGGAAAAAACGAGAAAATATTTTTCCTCACTGTCTCCACAACCAACCATACCAAATTCTGTGAACTTTTTATCTTTAAACATCTTTGGAATCTATGCTGTACTCTCTACCTGTTGCTAGTTCTCTAGTTTAAACCTTCATTCTCTCACCTGGACTACTCTTCAGCCTACCTGATTATCTGGCTTCAGTGTCACCCCTCAATTCATACACCAAGTTTCTATGTGATGTATTTAAAAGACAAAATGAACCATATTCCTCCCATATGTGAAGCCTTATATTCACTCCCGAGCCTATACGGGGGGAAAAAAGAAAGGCAAAACGTCTTAGGACAACATTCAAGAACCTCAATGATCTGGACCCTAAATAACTCTATAGTCTTTATTTACTTTTCACAACCACCCTCGCAGGTTAATACCTCAGTTATACCACATTACTCACAGTTCTCCAAACCTCCCTTTGTAGTTCTGTATTTCCCCCTACCTGGTATATTCCATCTTCTTTTGTAGTTTATGAGTGCCTATTTGTTCTTCAGTGTTACACAGCTATGGTCATCCCCACTACCACTTCTCTGACTACCTCTAGAAAGTTCATTACTCCTTCTCCTGTATTTTATATATACTTTCATTACTGAATTTATCACATTCATTGAAATTATTTGTTTTTAAATGTAACTCCTCTATTAAACCTTCAGCCCACTGAAGATAGGGTCCATTTTTACATCTCTAAGTGGCTAGTAAGGAGCCCTGGTGGTAACTGGATAAGCAACTGGCTGCTAACCAAAAGGTCCACGGTTCAAATCCACCAATCACTCCACAGGCGAAAGATGTAGCAATCTGCTTCCGTAAAGCTTTACAGTCTTGGAAACTCTATGGGGCAGCTCTACCCTGTCCTATAGGGTGTTTATGAGTTGACTTGAACTGGTATTTGTTGAATGAATGAAGAACCACTTACTTAGAATAACTGTTGGGAGAAACAGGATATTGAAAAACTAGGATTATTTACTCATATAACACAACATTTGAGTTCTAACTGTGAACAAACTACACAGCTGGGAGCTACAGGAGACACAAGAAATCTAAACTCTAATCCTTTCTTTTGAAGAACTTCAAATCTGAGATTACTACATTTATAAAAATACTATTCAAGCCATTTTTGTATCTTTTGGCAAGCACATCATTTACCCAGCTATTATTCATTGACAATGAGTTCTCCAGGATACAAATAAAAATCCAAGAATAAACAAAACTAGTTTCTAAGCAGCCAAAACAGCTTCACAAAGTTCTTTCCCCAGTAAGTTAAGATCCTTTACCAGGATGACCATGGATCCTGGTTTACCCAAGGCTTCTGCATTTGTCCAGTTCAGCCCTTTGTTTCCTAAAGTATCCCAGTTTAGAAAATAAATTATACAGACCCTACCCTTTACCCATCACAAAACCCTCTGGATGATCACACAGAAGTCAAATTACTCTTACTTTACCTACACTTCTAAGAAACAAGTTTTTTTGGTCCACAAACTGCTTCTGGGTGTTGCTGTTCGTCATTAGCCCTGTTTATCCTTCCCTACCTTACAAATCTTTAAACCATCATTAAAACCATCATTTTAATGTCTTATTCCCAGAACATACTTCATTGAATATTAAGCCACTAGTCTGAAAGAATTTAATTACACATTTCTTGTAAAAATTGTATTTGACCATTGAGAGTCCAGAAATAAACCCACACATCTATGGTCAACTGATTTTTGAAATGGTGCTAAGATCATTAGATGGGGAAAAGAAGAGTCTCTTCAATAAATGGTGCTGGAAAAACTGGATTTCCACATGCAGAAAAATGAAACAGGATCCATGCCTCACACCATACACAAAAACAAATTCAAAACGGATTAAAGACCTAAACGTGAAAACTAAAACCATAAAATTCTTAGAAGAAAATGTATGGGCAATGCTGTCAGGCCTTTTAAAAATGGATCATCTAAAAACAGAAGCACAAACAGCAAAAGACAAAACAGATGAATGGGACCTAATAAAAATTAAAAACTTTTGTTCATCAAAACACTCTAGTAAAAAAGTGAAAAGACATGTTACCAACTGGGAGAATATCTTCAGAAACCCTACATGCAACAAAAATCTAATAACCAAAATATACATAAAACTTCAATGACAACAATAAGGCAAACAACTCAATTACAAAATGGGAAAAGGACTTGAAAAGACATTTCACCAAAGAGGACATTCAAATGGCCACCAAACAC